TATAAAGTTGATTGAGAATTGAACTTCATAATTTGTTTTTATTTGATTTACATGAGGTTATCATAGTCTCATGATGCAGGTCGTGAATTTGACAAGATCAACCCAAGTTGAACCGAGTCGATCTACTATGTCGTCATCTCAATATTGTTTTTTTAAATGTTGTTTTGAATTTTTTTAGTCAAATTACATTGTTATCAATTTCTGGATTGTTTTTAGACCCATTAAGTCTATTGGATCACATTAAATTAACTCACACATAACTTAAAAAAATTTTACTATAAAAAACATTAGCACAGCTTGAACATTTTTTTTACGTTATAGAAAATTGATTCGACCTGTAGTATAGTGCGATCCAACAAGCTATAATGTTTTTTTTTTTAAATTTGAGTCAGCCTTTTTAACAAGTCCTTTGAACTAACATGTTTTTTATATGGAAATCTTGTCATGTTTTCCAATTAAATATACCAGTTTATTGGTCCGTGCTTCGCAGTGGGTCTACAAATAACTTTAAAAAATTTTACTATAAAAAACATTAGCCCCGCTTGAACATTTTTTTTTATGTTATAGAAAATTGATTCAACCTGTGGTATAGTGCGATCTAACAAGTTATAATGTTTTTTAAAAAAATTTGAGTCAACCTTTTTAACAAGTCCTTTGAACTAACATGTTTTTTATATGGAAATCTTGTCATGTTTTCCAATTAAATATACCAGTTTATTGGTTCGTGCTTCGCAGTGGGTCAATATCAATTTTTTTTAAAATATAAAAAAATATTAATAATATTTGAATAGTTTTATTAAACCTAACAAAATGAGTTAATTTTTAAACCTCCACTCAATTCTTTATTAGACCCAATGACAGCCATGTCAAACCTATGCATCTTAGGTTTGACAGTCATGCTAGATTCATGCACTTTTTTTTTTAACTATAGAAATTCTCTTATAATTGTTCTAAAAACATATTTATTTTGTATTTTCATGTCTTTTTAATCAAATAGATCTATATCTTTTCTATATTTTTTCGTTCTATTTTGGGACATTTACAACATGCATCTCTAAAATTCACTCAATTGTTTTTATTAATATCTAATTTTAATGAAGAAATCATCTATAAAATTCTATAAATTAAGATAATTAAAAGGATAATAAGTCTTTTACATATATAATATTCCTATAATATAGCATATCAATTCAAAAGTTCAAAAGTTTTCTCTTATGATCATATATTTCAAATTTTTGTATAGAATAAACTCTCCCTGTAACAAATTTGACAATTATACCATACAACAACATCTCAAATTTAAAAAAACATGAATCCTTTAAAAAACTATCCAATACTTGGATGGAAATATAAAATTAATATTTTCATCCATAATGTATATAAAAACAGGAGGTTTATTTTTGAAAACTTGAAATAAATCACTTAAAACTTTATATTTTTTCATTCTTTTCTCTTCGAACATAACAAATTTATAAAATAAATTACATAAAAAAAGAGAGTTTGCAGTTAAGTTCTATTGCATATGAATGAAAAATCCTACTTAAATGAGGCAATGTTTGTTTTTGAAGTTCAATCATGCTTTTGAAAAATTTTAAATTTTTTGACCAAGATGCCTGGGTCTGGCATGGTTATCAAGCTCAGACGAATGAGTTTAAAGACCGAGGTGCATGGGTTTGGCAGACCTATGGTAGCTTGAAAGAGACAATTTTTGTTTTTAGAGTTCAGTCATACTTTTAAAAAATTTTAAATTTTTTTATTCAGACAAGTGGGTCTAGCATGGTTGCTAGGTCCAGATGCAAGGGTTTGCTAGCCTAGGAGCATGGGTCTTGCAACTATGCCAAATCCAAGGAGCGTGGGTCTAGCAGTCATGCCAGATTTGACAAATAACAAATAAAAAGAATAATTATGCACTTTAATTGTCAAGAGATAGAAAATGAAGAAAAAACATAAATAATCAATCACCGATGGTAACCCAACCCTTATCTATTTACACGTGTCACACCATGTAAAAGAAGGCACTATTGTGCATCCAGTTAAATGATGAATGACCAAATTTGACTACCAGAAAGTGTCATACACGCCTTTTTAATGAAGCAGGTGCCACCCACTAGCTAAGCGATGAGGAACACGCGCCTACAACTTTTTAATTAAGAAATAACAAATACATTGTGAAAATACTAAAACATCCTCATGATTTTCTTTATTACATAAAATATCTATGTAAAAAATACCAAAATACCCTTAAAGGTAAATTATTGTTTTTTTTGCCTTTTCTGAAGTAAAAAACGTATTTGACTACATTCAAACTTAGAAAAACTTGAATACTTTTGTGGAAGAAAGCCAATAAAATATTTAATCAAGAGCGAAAGCTAAGAAATTAAAAATAAAATCACTATTACAATCTACAGTAAAAACTCTTTTGATTTATAATGATTTTCTCATATTATTTAGCTTTTGTTATAATATATATTCATGTTTACATAACATAATGGATGTTGACTGTTGAATAATGCAAGTTCACCAATCACCACTTTATTTCCAATTTGAGGAAACAAGATTTTACCTTTAGGGGTATTAAAGCTAAGAAAATATGTAGCATATGATTTTGATTATAGCATACATCTTTCTTCCTTCAATGTTTTTTCCTAATGGGAACTTGCACAACAAGAAAGTTTTTAAATTGCAAACACAATTTGCAATGGAGTTTTCTCACAAATATGTTATTTATAAGCAAAAATGATGTGACATACAATATACAAAAAGAATTTTACCATAAACTCTCTAAATTTTAAAAACAAAATGGTCGAATTTTGTGATTGAATCAAGAAAAGATGAATAAAATAAAATAAAAGATACTCCATACAATAGGAACATCACATTAAGAATAAAAAGCCTCCATATAATAGGAACATCACATTAAGAATAAAAAGCTTTGAAATACAAATTTGTTAGAGAAAATGCTATATTAGAAAAGTTAGGAATTGATACAATCAAAATATCAATGTGTTCTTCTAAGTGCGGGAGTGTCGAAGTAATAAATAACCTGGTAAGATCGGGATCGAACTACAAAGAGGGTAACTATATAAATTATAAATAACAACAATACAACAACAACGACAATAATAAAGAGAGTTTTGAGATGTGATATTGATATAAGAATTAAATAATGATAAAAATAAATGTCAAGGTTAGATGATCTATTAATGGTATTTCAAACAAGTATAGTATAAACTCTTATTACTCAATTGGAAACCACACATAAAGGAGGTTCCAATTGGATTATAAATTGTTAACATGATTACATTAGCTATCTTATTTGAATAATGCTAATGCTTGTAAATGTTAAGAGTATGATTTTGATATGAAAACCAAGATGCCTAAATGCATGACAAATGTCTTTTTTTATAAGCCAACATTGAGAACTATTGATTTGTTAACTAATTGTTGAATGGATGATCAACTCTTGAATTGGGTACAATCCTTATCTTATTGTCTAAACAAAACATCATCGATAATGTCAGAATTTGAACAATCTTAAATATGAAAATTCTAGGAAATTATCTCAGCTTTTCAGGAAAAAAATTGAGGTCATTTGGACTTCTAAAACTCAAGATATGGGCTAAACACTGAACAGTGTATGGGCTGCAGGATAGATTTAGACTTCTTTGTTGTTATTAAGATTTAGACTTCCAAACAGCAGAAGTAAGTCTTGCCTTACCCATGAAAGTTTTAGGCCTATACCTTAACTTTCTATCTATATAAAAAAAATCTAAATCCAAGTTCTACAGATCTAGTTATAATCTAATTACCGATCAGTGATTTAGTTTGGATTAAACCAACATCTCTTTTCAATTACCGATCAGTGATCTAGTTTGGACCAAACCAACATCTCTTTTCTAAACTTTACCATCTTTTTGTCCTTTCAATTTCAGAACTTAAACTTATCAATTAATCCTTTCATTTATATGATAGGCTTGCATTTAAGATGAACATTTACCATAAGTTAAATATATATTATGGTATTAGACTTGTTATTATAAAATATGTTTTAGTTAAGGAGTTATTGATACTTTAAGTGCAAAATAATGATGTAAAATCCTAATAAAAATATTATGTATTAATTAAAAATAATAATGTCCAAATTTATTTTACTGATGTTACCTCCACAACACCAGTAATATTTTTACCTCACCTCGAAACAAAACACAAAAAAATCAAACATATCTTATTGGATTGCTCAAGGCAATCCGGCCATCCACTCCTTCCGATGTAGTTTTTTCAACAATGAATTTGGCTCATCAAGTTTACGAAATATGTCGATGTCATTGACCTGCAGCAGTTAAATCCCAGTGGCCGGAAGGCCAAAACCAAATTATGTATTTGGCCTTCCAGCAAAATATTGATATTATACACCAGCAGAGTCGCAACTATTTTTTATTTCTTTATGTTTACTATAGATGCAACGCAAAGACAACCATGTTGGTTGACATAAGATCAGGCCTTGCAATTTGCACCAATAAGTATATAAGCTAAATAATTAATCAAGCATCTAAAGAAGAAGGAATAACTTGGTATGAATTGCCAGCCTCCCTGCCAGACAGGCATGGCGTTTCTTTCGAAGATCAACGAGATTTGGAAAAACATTATTAGACATGTCCATGTTACAAGGCAAACCCCGACAAAAGTAAAGGGTATCCATGTGTCTCATGAACACAGAGTAAACGACAGCTTAACGATTATATCTAAAAGATGACAGTAGGTGGTAAGCATACATATGGCAACGGAAACATGCAGCATGTCCGTCTTTTGATGCTAATACGTGCCAAGGACTCAGAAAGTTATGTGGAAGGTAATTGAAGATTATTATGCGATAGCAACTTGCAAAAAAGTAATACTGCTCTGGATGGAAAACTTTAATTCATTGCACAAAGGTCAGGTAAGAAAAAGAGCTGTCCATAAAGAACAAACATGAAAATCTGATGAGAGAGTCAACACAAAAGTGATCTAAGTATAGTATAAACGAAATGGTATAAATCAAGAAATTAAAGACATGAAAAAATAAAGTGTATCAGAACAAAAATTCCCAATACAGGAGAATCCCTGAAACCTCAAAATATTTATCAAGTGTTTTTGGAGAGTCAGGTTATATGAATGCTAGGAAGCACATAAGAAACCGGTGACAAATAGGCTGTTCCCATAACAGCGAGTTCCCCATCCAGTAAAGTAAAGCTCCAGGTTGAATAAAACCCAAATTCCGGAAGAAAGCTATTTACATAATGTGACATTAGAAAACTCAAGAAATTACCCAACTCTTCAAACATTTCCCATATTCAGTTTTGACATTTAGCACGCTGTACCAGTCACTCGCTACAGATGGAAAATGTTCGGTTGCTGCTTTCATAAGGAGTTACACAAGCTGCAGCTCCACCTAACCTTTACAAAAACAGATTCTGAAGCGTTCAAGAGAATCACCCACTTTCTCTTAAGCAGTTCCCAGGCAAGAGAAATTTATACTTGTCAGCGTTCTCCAGAAGATATGATGGAAGATGAACAGCTGAATAGGAGTGAGGAATTGGTCCCATTTTCCCAATAATTTCCTTGAATGTGTACTCCTCTGGAAGCATATCAAATAAATCAGCACCCTTGCAAATTACTCTCTGGATTCTTTCAGGGTTCAAGTAACGTTTGAACCTGACTCTATCAACATGACTGTAAGCTTTCATCTTAAATATAAACTCGCTTATTCGGCGGAAACAGAAGCTGCAGTGCCACCCTGCATCTGCCAAAATGTCATCTGCCTGGCGATAATGTGCATACTGCGTCGTGCCTGTCTGATATCTGTGGACTGAAGCTCTCCAGCTGTTATTGTCCACGAGAAACTCAAAAGAGTAGAGATAATTTTTCAGCCGGAGATGAAGAACTGAAGGAATGTCATCGCACCACCTCAAAAGATTGATAGTGTGTCTGCTTGGTATCTCATCAACATCTGACATTATAAGCAAGTCATCATCAGAAATCCCTGCTAATTTGATAAGTTGGTCCAATGCTACTCGCTGGTATGCCTCTTCGATAAATGGGTTCTCTCCTTTCTTAAACCTCCCTCCGATAGTTCCATAGGTCAACCTGGGCTCAACAAATTCAAACTGATCTCGATGGTTGGCAAAATAGAGAAGCTTTTCTTTCCCAGTGAAGGTTGAGTTAGATTCGAGGAGAACAAACTGTGTAATGTATGGGTACAATTCTTTCCATCGCAAAGCAAGGATGTCCAATTCATTACTGAATAACACTGCATCATAAACACGTCTTGGGAACTCACGAATTCCCCAACCATGGAGTTTGCAGAGGTTCTCCATCGAAACATTCTCATGATAATAGTGTGGGATTTCATTGAACCTTTTAGGAGGGGATTCCCATAATGGCCGGAAAAAGTATGAGATCTTCTGTCCATGCATGTAAATACCATACACACAGGTTGGCACGAGTATAAACAGAAGCAAATATGTCTTTAAATCCATGCCACGAAGAATACACCGGATTCTGGACATGCTCAAAATTCGGCCTGAGTCCTGCAAATTAATGGAGTTCACAATATGAGTCAAAATGATTTCAAGAAGAAACAGAAAACAGAGCAAATCACTAGTAGAAAACTGATCAATCAATAAATAAAAATTCTCTCCTATAAGCATAATGCCCTGTTTGATTCCAGTAAAGAAGAGAGAATGTAACGAAAATCACTCAATAAATCCGCATCTTAATAATTACTACCTTCTTAAACACAAAAAGTCATTCTTGAAAACCAGATAAAAATTGGAGACATTTCATGATCAGAGTTTCCAGACGGAAAAAATTGAGAAGACCCAAATTGTAAATTAAGCAACATCTTAATCTGCTTCCATAATCTTAGTCATTAAACACAAAAACAAAGGTCTGATTTCAGATGCTCAAACTTAAAAAACCTCATCCTTGATTTTTTCAAATCCTCGAACAAGTTCCAGATTAAAATAAAAAAAACCTCAAAAACTCATCAATCAAAGAAAATGAAAATCCATGAAATCCCAATTCCAATAACATAATATCTATTTAATGGCATAACGAGAATTAAAAAAAACGGATCAGTTAAAAAAAAAACAGAGAGAAGTCCAACGAAATCTTGTACACATCAAAATGGGTTCGAAATTACCTGGCCACAAATATCATCACAGATATCATCACTCTTCTTGGAGCAGTAATGGCCGCCATTTTCATTCATCATCCACCACATTTTTTTACTAAATATTTTCTATTTTTTTCTGCTCTAAAACTCAGATCAAAAACAAAAAATGGGTTTTATCCACACCCCGGAACAAACCCTCTTTTGAAATCCCCCTCCTCGATCTCCGCTTGTTTCTAGCTAGCAGCAAAACCAGTAAATTTAGCCGTTTCTCTCACTTTCTTTCTCTCTCCAAAAACGGGTTTTTCTTTCTAAAAAATCAGGGGGAAAAAATCAGCCAAGCAGATAGCGTCAGCCGTCCCTCCACAATCTCTAAAATTAACGAGCTTAATTGTCCTTTTCTAATATATTTTTTTTAAAGAACTAAAGTAATGTGGCTTCTCTGTGAATTGGGTGGCAGGCAGTTGTAAGGAAAAGATATATTTTCTTATTCTATATATAGGGGGAGAGGTTAATTATTAAATGACCAAAGTCACCATCGGTTTTTTGGATTCTTTGCGTGTAGAAGAAAATTGTCTGTGGATAATTTGGGAATTTGGTAAATATCTGGGCTTCGGTTTGGAGAGTGTCGTCGTTGGGCTCGGTCCTTCCCAACGCGTCTATTGACTTTCTAAACTCTAAACTAACAAAACTCGTTCACTGCTTACAGCCAAGTCGTTGCCTTTCTTGATTTTCTTGACCCTTTTTTTTTTCTGACCTTTTCTAATTTTCAAGTGTTTTTTTTTAATGGTTCAACAATCGAATTAAAGAATTGAAATAATAATTAAAAAAATAAAAATCTTATATTCTTATTTGGATTATTTATGAAAGTGTATTTTTCACTTTGTATCACACTTTTTATATTTATTTGAATGCTTTACAATTATAAGTTCTACATCTTATAATTAGGTTTTTTATATACTTGGACTGCTCATATTATGACATCAAGAGTTTGTATAGCTGTCTGCAAGACAATCCTTTTGTGATAGATTTGGTTTCATGACACACACACACACAAATCAATTTAATCCTTAATAATTAAATTAAATCTATACGTGTAAGAAAAATTAAATTCAATGAACAATAAATATTTTTTGTATAACTACAATTATAATAACATCTTCAGGTAACTGTAAAACAGTGTTGTTTGGAACGTTAAAAAAAACAAAGTAATGTTTAGTTATTATCCTTAAAAAAAAAAAAGAAGGATGAAGAGACATGCCTCAAAGACAGAAGTAATTAAGTTTTCTCTTCCATTAATATCTCATTAAACATTCCAAAGATCTGAACCATTAATTTTATAACCGTTAGTATGAACTATTTGGTCTGAATATTAACTTAAAAATAAAAAAATTAAGAAAAGTAAAAAAAAAAAAAAAGAGAGGAAAAAAGAGTAAAAAGATAAAATTTCCTACTGAAAAGCACTATAAAATGAACGATTTTGTTGCAAGGAATTCATAAACACCAAAAAAATGTATAATTTCAACAAAGGATTTGCAAAATATAAGGATTTTGAATTTTAAATCTAAAAACTTTAAAACTCACAAGGTTAAATTTGTGTTTAGGAGGTCAAAATGTGTGCTTTCTTTGTGTTTTTTTTCTCTTTGTAAGAAAAATAAAAAAATATGATTTCACATGGTTGTCGGCAAACTACCTAGACTATATTTATTTAATGATATTATGAAATTGAAGTAATTAATAAATTAATAATATATTCAACTTGTATTTTTCTAAACTTTACATCTATAGAATATATAGTAAAATAAATATTTAATTTATAATTTATCTTTGTATATTTATGAAAGGAAGAGAATAAGTAAAAAGAAAACAAAAATCATGTGTTTCAAAAATGATATATAAAAATAAAATAAAAGACTGATAAGAGATAATTTAATAGATTATCTTATGATACAGAGACTTTTTCATGATATCATTATCATTAAAACGACAGAGTCTTCTTTGTTTTGTTATAAGCAAAACATCCTTTTTTCCTCATTTATCACCCATATTCTATTTCTCTCTTATTTTTTTTTTCCTTATTTATCACCCATATTCTATTTCTCTCTTATCTTTCAATGCAACTTGTATTTGTTTCCCTTCCTCTCTTCTTCCTTTTGGATTCAAGAATATAATATTTTTTTTTTCAAACAAAAAAATTAGCACTTTAGAAAAGGGAAACGAACTTCCCATGGAAGGAAGGCCCGCCCTGCTTCCATGGAAAGGAGCAATCGCCTGTTCGCTGTGTTTTTTTTATTCTATCTCAAAATAAATACAAAACATTATGTTTGAAAAATCTAGTTAAAACTTAGTAATTTTTTAAATAATATTATTTTTATTTTTTTATAAAAAAAATTAAGTTGTTCCATATAGTTTATGAATTCACTCAAGTTAGTTAACATATGAGGTTTAAAAACTCTACAAAATACAACCAAATATCAAAGATTTTTAATGTCAAGCAAAAGATTAAATTCTTGTTTGTTTGATAAAAAATGATTTTTTTATTTTTTTATTTTTATTTGTCATTGGAAAAGGTGATCAATAAAAAACACTTTATAATTAAAGAAAAATTTAGTTTGATTTTCAGGAAAGTACTTTCCTTTTATTTTGAGAGAAAACACTTTTAAGAAGTTATGAAAAATTTAGAAATACTATATTATTTATTGATTATATCAAATTTGATCATCAAACTTTTGATTGCAATATATTTTGTTTTATTTTTTTTAATTTCATCCCTTAAAATTAATTTTTTTTTCTATTTATTTTTATTCACTTTTTAATTTATAAGATTTATTCTTCATTATTTTAATAAACTTGAAAAAAATAAAACATCAATAAGTTATTTTTCATGATATAACCAATTACTGGAAAATATTTTTTAATTTATTTTTCATAATACTACCAAATATAAAAAAATAATTCATTTTTCAAAAATTTAATTTCTTAAAAAAACTATTTTCTAACAAAAATAAATAAATAGAGTTTTATATACTTTTCATTTACAACAAACTAGTAGAGTGCTTTCATTCATTTATCGTAGCCAAAACTTATGAGAAATGGTGTGACAAAGCAATTAACGAAGTTGGTCGATGAAGGGTCCAAATAGTGCCATATATTTGGTGACGTATCCTATTAAAATTATTTTTTCTTCATATTACTTTGATATTTACTTGAGATAATTAAAATCTAATTATTAATATTTTTACATAAATATTATGAGCAGAAAAGTAGCACTTTTTTTTATTCCTATATCAAGTAATATTTAAAAGTTTTATATCAGATTGTACATATCATTTAACTATTTTAAGCGCTTTTGATTTTTGTTTTTAATTATCCATTAAAGTTTTACACCAAATACCCTCTATTTCAAATCTACTAAACGTGTAATGTTCAGAAGCAGTTTTATTGGTGGATTTTAAAAGCCGTTTTTCACTTAAAAAAATATTAATTTAATATTTTTATAATTTTGATGTATTAATTTAAAAAATATAAAAATATAAAAATAATTATTTTTATTTATTTTTAAGTAAAAATTACTTTTGAAAAATACATTGTACCATAATACCAAACACACACATATGTTGTGTTTGTTTTTGAAATCCAACAATACTTTTGAGAAATTCTAAAAACTTTTATTTTAAATTAATTTTTTTAAGTAATTTTAGATATTTTGATATGCTGATGTTAAAAATAATTATTTCAAAAAAATATTATTTTAAAGTAAACAAAAAATATTTTAAAAAATAACACCTACAACAATCCTAAACACACTTATAGATTATCACAAGCCAATCTTCCATAAGATATTTGAAATCATTCTCCATTATATTTTTTCTTTTTTGTAATTTTATAGAAAAGTTTGAAACCATTAAAAAAAGCTATAGTCATAAATACATACAGGCAAAAACACATTCATTTTTAGAATGTGTCTGGTATTATGATTTGCTTTTATAATTATACTTTGAACATGTAGTTTTATAAAAATTACTTTTAATTAATATTTATTTAATAAATTAAAGTGTATGGTTAAAAATATGATTGAGATTTAGATTGAATAAAAAATAATTTTTTGATTAATATGCTTTTTATATTAAAGTTTGATTGTAAAATTACTTAAAGTTACACACACAATATTCTTTTGTGATTTCAATTTTTTTTGTATTTTTTCTTATAGGTTGTTTTTTATACAATGATTGGTTTTTTGTATAATTGAAGGAAGGTTTATATGAAAAAATTTAATACAAAAATACAAAATATTATATCCTAACCAAGTTCATCAAATCCTTGACATGTATTGTGATATTGTATACTTGCTTTGTGTTATAAAGAAAAATGGTCTTACATATTTCTTTTTTCTCTTTTTCAGTAACTTTAGGATACTTGTAAGAGTGATATGTTTACTTTTTTATTATTCTTCTCCCCTAATTTATATCTATATTTTTCCATTCTAAGCTTATTGAAGTGTTATAAGAAGAAGTAATAGAATTATTGACACAGGCTATTGAGTGCTTGTTTTAGCTAAAATTTTGAATTTTTAGTGCAATTCTATGTTTATGACATTGTAATCAAAGCTCTTTAACTCATTTGCTAAAACATTTTTAAAAAAATGACCAATTCCTTTTAAATAAATATAATAAAAAAAAACAATCAATTTTAGTTATGAACATTTAAAATAGATTGCAATTCTCAGTGTATTTTTCTTAAATTTTATTACTATCTACTAATTTTTCAAAAGATAACTTTGTCAGTATTCATGATTATCTTCATTCATGAGTTAATGTAAAAGCATTGGCTAATTCAAGCATTGACCCAAATAAAATAAAAATAAATTCATTTTATAGGAAGCAAAACTCAAGCAACTTAAACTAACTTAACAAACAAAACTCCATCACACATGAACTAATGCAAAAGAGATCAACTCTCAGAAGAAAAAATTAATTATCTTCAAGAACAAGTTTTAATTTGTAAAATTAATTAAACCAACTATGTAACTTGAACAATATGTTTCAGTCGCATATTTCTAATATAATTTGTTTAAGAAAAACAAATAAGACCAAACAAACATACATTATTAGTAGTGATAATTAATAAAAAAAATAATTAATCAAACATCATATAAATTAAAATATATAGTTAATTAAGATATTTTGACATGCTGATGTTAAAAATAATTATTTTAAAAAATTATTATTTTAAAGTAAACAAAAAATATTTAAAAAATAACATCTACAATAATCTCAAACACACTTATAGATTATAACAAGCCAATCTTCCATAAGATATTTGAAATCATTCTCCATTATATATTTTTTTTTTGTAATTTTATAGGAAATTTTGAAACCATCAAAGAAAACATAGTCATAAATATATATAGGCAAAAACACATTCAGTTTTAGAATGTGTTTGGTATTGTGATTTGCTTTT